TAATCCCTAGACTTGGCTCTGGTGCTCCTTCAAAATGGATTTCCCAAAACACCCGAAACGCCTGAAAAGAAGCTGGAGATGAAGAGAGTTTCTGAAGTAAGGCTGGAGCAGATTTGTTCCCTAGAATTCCAGTCACCCCCATCCATCTCTCGGGGGGGGGGGGCTGGGAAACCCCCTGCCTCGCCTCCTGTGAGGGTCTTTCCAGGCACTGAGCAGCCGGGTTTGTGCGTTGCAGCCCCCACCCCTTGGTCAATGGGCCATGAGCAGCAGCTGGAACAGCCAAGGCCTCCGCAGTTCTCGAAAGAAGCCTGGGATGTTGAGTGGGGGGTGGGTGGGGGTGGGTTAAGATGAATGCAATCCAAGTTCAGATCTCCTCAGCCATGGAAGGTCATTCTGGCTTTCTCTCCAGCCTTCTGTCCCTGGGGGTTGGGGCTCCATTAAAACTTTAAAAAAACGAATACAGGAGGGAAGTGCTCCGTCTGCTGCGTTGACGTCTCGGAGGAGGAAAAACATAAATTCCATGGCTGAAGCCTCCTAAGACGTTATCGAATTCGTCTTTTCCTTTGTTTGTTGCAGATCTGTTGTGCTGTGCTGGAGAGAATGTTGGCATGTAAGTGGCGGCTGTGGGAGTGGATCAGGTCAGGTCAGGAGTGCAATCGCCCTTGAGAGAGAGAGGCTTGTGAGAATCCCTCACAGGACAGGACGTTGCTGCCACACAAATAGCTTGAACTCTTACTTTGGCGTGTAAAGCCAGACTGAAATTTTCACACTGTCCCGCTGTGAATTGTGCTTCCACCTCTTCCTACAAACACACACCTCGCATTGCATAACGGAGGACGTTGGGGGTTCGTTCTCCCACGTCGGCTTTGAGGACCTTTGGCCTCCAGATTGCTGTGTTCCAAACAGATGTTTTTGTTTTTCATTCCCATCTATGTTCTTGAGCACTGATGTTCCCTCCAGCGATGCAGTCAATATATTGCAATGATAGGATACGTTTCCAGAAAGGAGGGAAACGGCTCCCAGGCCGCTATCACGATTAAGGCTGAGCTTCCTCCCTTGAGAAATTATTCCTTGTGGAGTCTGTGGCTCTTTCGTGGCTCTTTCGTGGCCCTATTCTCCGGACACGGCCTTCTGCTCGCCCTGCCTGAAGCTTGCTTCTTGCCTTTTGTCTAGGGGTGCTGGATGCTGTGGCTACGGAGAAGCAGGGCAGGGCCTCCCCCACAGGAAAGGCGGTGAGATGCTGGTAAGGACTTCTCCCCGAGGTCGGGGCTGGGAGAGGAGGGAGGATCGGAGAGCCGCCAACTGGGGGCAACAGCATTTCTCAGCTCTCCAAGAGCTCCGTTTGTGTGTTTCCCAAGTGGCTTCATTCCCTGCGTGCAAAGCATGTGATGCCCCCTTAAAATGGAGCTCCGGTTTCCAGCAGCAGTTTTATCTGTCGGGCCAAAGTTTTGCCCCCTAAATAGTGTCGTTATATTCGCTAATAATAGCATGCTTTTATGTTTTCTGCCAAGCACTTGAGCAATAATCAGAAAATAAATATTTATCATTTGTTTACAGGCCTCCTAGTAAATGCCCACTTACTGAAAAAAACGGGAGCAATTAGCAGTAATCCTCAATCCTGCTGACTCATTGTTCTTGCCCATGGAGACATTTCCCCCTTTTGTGTACAGGCTCCAAGTCTACAGCCTGGTGGTTTTCCAAGGCACGGCTCCACCGGAGCATCTGCAGGCCCTCTTTGGGCACATCTTCACCCGGGTGCTTACCTACAATCCCCATCTGACAGGTAGGATCCCCAGAAGGGGGCAGGTGTGCTCAGGGTTGCTGAGGGACGAGGGAGGTCTTTTGCAGGACCCCCTGCCGCCCCCGGGAATCACCCAGCAGGCTCTGGAGCAGCTCCCCATAAGGCCCCAGGCTCCTGCCAGCACGTCTGTCTGGTCTGCCTTGGAAGGGCTGGGTTAGGGCTGGGTAGGAATCGACCGGGGCCAACTGTGTGGTTGGGACATGGCTTCCTGCAGAGCCTCGTTTTAACTGCCATATATTTTAAGGGACAAATTCATTAGTGCTCAGTCAAATAAGTTCTTCAAGTGAGGACAAAGCCAGAATGCATGTTTTGCTCCTGAGTTGTTAAAAGTTAATGCGCCTCTCCAGCCCTGGGACTGTCTCTCCATTCAGCAGCTCTTGGGCTGGAGTGGGGCGGGGCAGGGCAGGCTACGATTCCAGGCTCCCCTGGAAGGTGGTGGTGGAAGTCGGGCAACCCGCGGAAAAGGTGA